TAAATGAGGAAAATTGTTCTTCAAAAGTCGATTCCCTCTAAAGTGCACTATGCAACTTACTCAGTGCTTACTACTTCGCGCTGTTCTACTTGTAAAATTTGTCAGTTTTTTCATTTATCTACATAATGACACCTGGAAAAATCCTTGAATTCTACTAGCCCTTACAAATTATCGTTTCTGAATCTCAGATAGAGTTAACATAAAAATGCGGCATCTCAGTTAGACTTGAATACCTATTTGACCTATTTCTCATCATGGATCTAGGTACTACCTAATAGGTAAGCCAGAGATTCGACTATCCCTCGTAAGCCTGGAAGCAGTGTGCCTCTTTCAGTAACCGAGAGCCTAGGGTCTTCATCATCTGATGGGCATGGCAAAGGTTTGACTAATCATTCTCCCATCTTGGAATAGGTATACCTGAGATTCGTCTACCCATGCAATTGCCCTTCAAACGTCCCCCATGGTCATGAGCATGGGAGCAGCTTCTCGAGTTTTGCCCATTTATTCAATACATTCTGCGTGAAGAGCATTCACGCATGTGTCAATCTGCAACTCGTTAAAGGTTTGATTAATCATTCCCCCATCTTGGAATAGGTATGCCTGAGATTCGTCTACCCATGTAATTACCCTTCAAACGTCCCCCATAGTCATGAGTATAGGGCCAGCTTCACGAGTTTTGTTTATTTATTCAATACAATCTTCGTAAAGAGCATTCACGCATGTGTCAATCTGCAACTCGTTCAGTTCCCCTACCACCCAACCATCCCAACCTCCCACCTCCCCTCTCCGTTCACCCCCAAAGTCCGCTCCAATTCCTTCATTGTCCTCAATCGTCTTTAATTTGTCCTCATTCAGTAGTTCCGCATCTGGACACAATTCCTTCAGGATCGATGGAGTGGAAGCGCTAGGGACACCTTTTTCAATTCGAATTTTCAGTTGGTAGACGGGCTCCCAATTCATCATCGCTGGATTCAGCTGGAAGGAAGCTCTTCCCTGATAGTTTTTTGTGATCAAATACTGTAAGTTGCGATAGATAGATAGATAGAGTTGATAGATAACGTTGCTGAGTAGGTAGATTTACACATTACTGGTATATATCGGTCTCTAAAGCCGGCTAATGCCGCAATCGGCACTTTTATCCGCTTAAATCGATTTGGCACCCATCAAAATCGATACCTAAAAGGGAATACTACTGTAGGTACCATTGGCAATTCATACATATTCATGTGAGTATGGAAAGGAGGAGCTTCTTCTGGCTAATGATCCAATTCTGTCTTAGGCTGCATTTGCTGTCGTCAACGAACCGGTCGTCCTAAAGCTCGACTACTGTCATGTGTAGTTACTATTGAATTACGGCTTCTAGTTGCCTATCGTACACGGACAACGATACTACGATTAATCATTATTTATAGGGTGATTTTACCAATTAATATCCAGTTATCCTTCAACAAGCTCATTGATTCATCGCCATATCGTCCGCCTATTCATTTGTCAAGCACATGCCTCGGTAGTACAAGGCTGCGAACTTTTCTTCTCCTTGTCCTTTTCATCTTTTCTCATTTTTTCCTTTTTCTTTATTCCCAATACTTTTATTAGAAACTGCACTTACCCACAAGTACAGTAGTTCGCTAGCCCTCTGAACTCCTTAGCTTGCCCTTAGCCTTGGATTCAATGAGTCGCACTTGATCGAGCCTCCAGGTCTTCAGTACGGTTCTTACGGATTACCTATTAAAGATCGGTGCCTCTGCCGGTGATTTAGACACAAAAAGGCTCAAAAAGATGAGACTATGATCAATCTCGTTTACGCACGCGTTTTCGACCCTTTTCGAAATCGTAGTAGTATTTGAATGTGTACTCAGCCTTTACAATGATGTGGATATAGGCAGTCGATGAATAAAAAGTAGCTGTTGTTCTCCTAGACGAGTCTGAAATTAAACCCCTTTGAGTCCCCCAGCAGAGGAATTCGGGGTGGTGTACGGTTTTCTGACCTGGGCTAACTTTAATCCAGAATTCAATAAGAAAGTGACAGCTCCAAGAAGCACTTACCCAAAAATGAGGGTCTGCAAGTCGGGTTTCTCCCAGCGATTGTACGGTCATGATACTTTCTCATTTCATAGAATCGCATCCCATTCGCCTAGTTTCCGGTCATTATAAAAAACGCCAGTTGAATTACCTCTTCGTCACCTTCTCCATCGCTGGCCAATGTGATCGTCCTCGGCCACTAGTATCGGGCCACGGGAAGAGTGGTTTGGAGCCGATCAAGTGTGTCGTCATTCCTTCTGCAGCCGTACGATTCCTACCTTCATCTGGGTCCCTGGCCAATTCAAAGTTCCTTCTAGGGTAATGAACTGAGTGGATGCACTTGGATCGGCCTTATTCGATCTCTTCGATGGCAATCCTCATCATACAGGCGTATAAGTACTTACTCCCTCCTTTAATATTGAAACTAATAAATCGGATGACACCCTAGCAAAAGCTCCAGCCCCTTGTTCTTCATCTGTGGGTGATAACATCAAGGGCGGCGCATCGGGCCACTGCTGATCAGAGAGTTTGAGTTTAGAGTTTTGACCAGGTTGGATTAAGATTGACCTTTGGGAGAAAGGCCAATTCAGCCTCCAGTTAGCTTCTTCCGAATGTTGAACTAACATGGTCAAAGCTGTAGTGAGTCAGTGAAAAAAGCTGAATCTGCCTTCTCCTCAAGGTACTACCCATGTGGATAACGGACATGTATGTATATGTCGAATTCCCTTCCAATACCCTCTACAATCTTGAATGAATAAAAAGTGCATGGTGCAATACTTCAACCCTTCTCATTACGATATTCATGAGTTCTTCAGGAGCAAGGGATGTCGTAGACCGGTTCTCCCATTGCCATGGTACTAAATGTCTATTCTCTTCTGAATGACTTTCTTTGGCTATATTGTTACCGGCTAC